TGTGTCTGAGATGTTGGGCAGCTAGCTCATTGCAATCGACGCTCAGCACCGTGCGCCCTCCAAGAAAGGTGGTACCGATGCCCATGCCACCAAAACCAGCACAGAGCTCAATGACCGTAGAGGAAATTGAGACTGGGGGATTTGGGGCCTGTCGAAACCACGAATCGCAAGTGTCGAACAAATGCTGGCCGTCATGCCCTGTCCTGAAATTGTAAAGGGTATATCGCCCTTCACCAAGCCCAGAGGCGTGTATGGTCACCAACCTGCCGTCTGGGACTCTGCTGCCCATGTAAATACCTGCATGGCCCGTCAGCTTGATGTCTAAGACGCCCTTAGCCAAGCCACCATCCGGTGGCAGGAGCCCGAAGATGCGCGAATCCATGGGTGCGGAAAAGGGTGTCCCGAACTTCGGCTGCCGCAGATCTACCGCTGGCAAGCACTCGGGCCGAGATCTATATGGAGCCATTCTTAAAAACCATGGAACCCCCAGATCTGAGGTCTAAGCCTTAGAATGAGAAGATATGAACAAATGTGAGAAGAGAAATGGGCTCACAAATCATTAAATGTGGGCAAAAACCGCCAGAGATCCTGCTAAAAGGCGACACGAACTTTCAATAAAGTGGCACCTCACTACAACAGCGGATCCAAAATTATGCAAGTCTAAGCATCGCTTTTAGAATGACTCATTGGAAAGTGTTCTCTCGGTGAGACCGGTTAAAGCGATTCCACTAGAGCACGAGGAAAGAACAATTTTGAGGGGATTTTTCAAGTAGAAGATCTAAACACCTCTGCTGGGGGCTAAGTAGCCCACGATTTTGAACATGCCCCTCTGAAGGATAGGGTTTGACTCCTTTTCTATTCTTTTCCACCATCGGCATTTTCGCAAATTAGAGATCAGCCGCTTAAGTTTTGAGCATGACTTTCTGAAAAGCCTTCGAAAACAGGGGTGAAGGTTGCCCAAGACCATGCCAAAAGGACCAGAGGTCGTTCGTGTGTTTCTTCCTTCCAAATGTGTCCTTTGAGCATCATACTTTAGAGCCTCCGGCTCAGTCCGCCGACATTGTCCTCTCCCTTTTCTCCTTCTTCCTCTCTTCCTTGTCTCCCTTGTGTGTTCTGTCGTCCTCTCTCCCTCCCTCTGCTCCCATCCTCCCCATCCCCCCAAGCCTCTCTCTCCCCACTCTCCCTCTCTCGTATGTATGCATGCATGTACATATGTATGTATGTATGTATGTATGTATGTATGTATGTATGTATGTATGTATGTATGTATGTATGTATGTATGTATGTATGTATGTATGTATGTAATGTATGTATGTATGTATGTATGTATGTATGTATGTATGTAATGTAATGTAATGTAATGTAATGTAATGTAATGTAATGTAATGTAATGTAATGTATGTATGTATGTATGTATGTATGTATGTATGTATGTATGTATGTATGTATGTATGTATGTATGTATGTATGTATGTATGTATGTATGTATGTATGTATGTATGTATGTATGTATGTATGTATGTATGTATGTATGTATGTATGTATGTATGTATGTATGTATGTATGTATGTAATGTATGTATGTATGTATGTATGTATGTATGTATGTATGTATGTATGTATGTATGTATGTATGTATGTATGTATGTATGTATGTATGTATGTATGTATGTATGTATGTATGTATGTATGTATGTATGTATGTATGTATGTAATGTATGTATGTATGTATGTATGTATGTATGTATGTATGTATGTATGTATGTATGTATGTATGTATGTATGTATGTATGTATGTATGTATGTATGTATGTATGTATGTATGTATGTATGTATGTATGTATGTATGTATGTATGTATGTATGTATGTATGTATGTATGTATGTATGTATGTATGTATGTATATGTAATGTATGTATGTATGTATGTATGTATGTATGTATATGTATGTATGTATGTATGTATGTATGTAATGTATGTATGTATGTATGTATGTATGTATGTATGTATGTATGTATGTATGTATGTATGTATGTATGTATGTATGTATGTATGTATGTATGTATGTATGTATGTATGTATGTATGTATGTATGTATGTATGTATGTATGTATGTATGTATGTATGTATGTATGTATGTATGTATGTATGTATGTATGTATGTATGTATGTATGTATGTATGTATGTATGTATGTATGTATGTATGTATGTATGTACGTAATGTATGTATGTATGTATGTATGTATGTATGTATGTATGTATGTATGTATGTATGTATGTATGTATGTATGTATGTATGTATGTATGTATGTATGTAATGTATGTATGTATGTATGTATGTATGTATGTATGTATGTATGTATGTATGTATGTATGTATGTATGTATGTATGTATGTATGTATGTATGTATGTATGTATGTATGTATGTATGTATGTATGTATGTATGTATGTAATGTATGTATGTATGTATGTATGTATGTATGTATGTATGTATGTATGTATGTATGTATGTATGTATGTATGTATGTATGTATGTATGTATGTATGTATGTATGTATGTATGTATGTATGTATGTATGTATGTATGTGTATGTATGTATGTATGTATGTATGTATGTATGTATGTATGTATGTATGTATGTATGTATGTATGTATGTAATGTATGTATGTATGTATGTATGTATGTATGTATGTATGTATGTATGTATGTATGTATGTATGTATGTATGTATGTATGTATGTATGTATGTATGTATGTATGTATGTATGTATGTATGTATGTATGTATGTATGTATGTATGTATGTATGTATGTATGTATGTATGTATGTATGTATGTATGTATGTATGTATGTATGTATGTATGTATGTATGTATGTATGTATGTATGTATGTATGTATGTATGTATGTATGTATGTATGTATGTATGTATGTATGTATGTATGTATGTATGTATGTATGTATGTATGTATGTATGTATGTATGTATGTATGTATGTATGTATGTATGTATGTATGTATGTATGTATGTATGTATGTATGTATGTATGTAATGTATGTATGTATGTATGTATGTATGTATGTATGTATGTATGTATGTATGTATGTATGTATGTAATGTATGTATGTATGTATGTATGTATGTATGTATGTATGTATGTATGTATGTATGTATGTATGTATGTATGTATGTATGTATGTATGTATGTATGTATGTATGTATGTATGTATGTATGTATGTATGTATGTATGTATGTATGTATGTATGTATGTATGTATGTATGTATGTATGTATGTATGTATGTATGTATGTATGTATGTATGTATGTATGTATGTATGTATGTATGTATGTATGTATGTATGTATGTATGTATGTATGTATGTATGTATGTATGTATGTATGTATGTATGTATGTATGTATGTATGTATGTATGTATGTATGTATGTATGTATGTATGTATGTATGTATGTATGTATGTATGTATGTATGTATGTATGTATGTATGTATGTATGTATGTATGTATGTAATGTATGTAATGTATGTATGTATGTATGTATGTATGTATGTATGTATGTATGTATGTATGTATGTATGTATGTATGTATGTATGTATGTATGTATGTATGTATGTATGTATGTATGTATGTATGTATGTATGTATGTATGTAATGTATGTATGTATGTAATGTATGTATGTATGTATGTATGTATGTATGTATGTATGTATGTATGTATGTATGTATAATGTATGTATGTATGTATGTATGTATGTATGTATGTATGTATGTATGTATGTATGTATGTATGTATGTATGTATGTATGTATGTATGTATGTATGTAATGTATGTATGTATGTATGTATGTATGCATGTATGTGTATGTATGTATGTATGTAATGTAATGCATGTAGTATGTAAGTAAGTAAGTAAGTAAGTAAGTAAGTAAGTAAGTAAGTAAGTAAGTAAGTGTAATGCATGTAATGTATGTACGTATGTATGTATGTGTGCATGCATGCATGCATGCATGCATGCTTACATACATGTATGCATGTATGTATGTATGTAATGTATGTATGTATGTAATGTCATGTAATGTCATGTAATGTAATGTAATGTAATGTACTGTAATGTATGTATGTATGTATGTATGTATCCTTGCACTTCCCCTTTGCTCCCCAGTATTTCCCGCAAAAAAAACACGGTTTTTCCAGCGTTTTCGCAAAGAGGACGTCCAAAAACATTGAGTTTTTCCAGATTTTCGGCAAAAGGATGCAGGAAGCCCAAGCCAGCAAAAAAGCCGGCAGGGGGAATCGAGCCTGGGACCCCTGTTTTGCGACACCGGCTCCCCGAAGACTACGTTTAGTGGAACGTCATCAAATTGCCGCGCGGTACGTGGGGGACCCCCCCCCCCCCCAAAAACCTACGTAATAGACGTCGGGCGGGGGGGGGTTAGGGGGGGGTTATCCTCTATCCTCTAGTAAGTATCCGACACGCCGAGCAATGTCGGCGGATTTTGCGGGTACTTGGTTGGGATTCGTTTAACGCGAAGTCAAAAGGAGCCCGGTGATTTGGGGGATGTCCCCAGTTTGAGACAAACCCAGGTTGGTGCCCTGTGACTGGTTATTTGCATGGAAGGCTTTCGGTAAGGAAGCTCGCGCAGTCAGTTCAGCACCCGGATCCCGTTGGGTTGAGAGCATTTATTTACTCGTGCCGACAGTCGCAGGTTATCTCGCCCACTCCTTAGGTCAACGGAGCCAATTCACTGTGCAAAATGCGGCCTTATTTTTCGAACAAGTCCTGACACGTTGCCTTCGGTGCTTTAAAAACATCACCTTACGGGCCAACAAGTTTACAAAGCACTTTTCAGGAACCCTCTTGGTCATTGCTTGGGGATCCCAGGTCCTTTGGCGAAACGGGGAGGCGTCAGACCTCCGAACCTCCGAGCCTCCGAGCCCCCGAGACTCGGAGGGTTTCGAGACTCCGAGACTCCGAGGCCTGGACGCGATCCAGGAAGGCCCCTGACTGAGTCCGGATGGCCTGGACGGGAAAAGAGAGCTCTGGCATGCCCTGGAGCAAGGGGCCGGGCCGGAGCCGAGGCAAGACGCATCTCCAAAAATGATAGGGAGCAAGCCTTTGCGAGGGGTCCTTCTAACACCTCGCATCCTTTAGCACGGTCACCCGCTGTTTGTTTCCTTGGGTGACCGTGCAAAACTTCCTTCTTGGAGATGCCGTCGCGTTCCCCTTGAAATTCCTGTTTGTCTGGATCACAAAAGATTTGTCAGCCCCAGAAAGAAATGGCCCCCAGTATCCGCTGGTTGCAACTGGGGGCATCGGGGGGGGAAGCTGCATAGGGCAAGCACGCCACCGTTTGACCCAAGTGATGGGGTGTTGACGGCGCCTCCCGGCAACTTCGGAGGGTTGGTCATGCTTTCCGTACGGCGAAGGCATATCAGCTGCCGGGTTTGAGGGAAGGTCGCAAGTGGCCAATTCCCATGTCGATCAGGCCTCCAGGTCTGTGCCCGTTTCAATTCAGCCAGGTTTCTATCAAAAATCAGCACGAACTCCCCGCAGCCCTGGCAGGGCACATTCGCGCGATTTCCGTCGGGTCACCAGGGTTCCCTTTCCACACCCGATTCGAACCCCCAGGGCTCGACATCGAGCCAGGCGCTTGCGACCTTGTTGGCTCAGGCTGAGCGGACCTGTTTTGGCTGGGGCCGACAGTGTTTGTAGACGTCATTTGAGCTACGTCCTCAAAACCCGCTAAGAAGAAAGGGATAGGCCCAACCAGAAATGTATGCAGCTGCCTTGTAAATTCCTTGCTGACACATGTCTCTAAATTGGCTCAAGCTTCTTTGCCAGCGAAGCCCAACTTGCGCCAATTCGGGGGTCGGGGCGAACCGTGTTCCGCCGCAGATGGCTTGGCAGAATAGGGCCCCACTGCGGGAACACGCCAGGTAGGGCCAGACCTCGGGTTTCGGACGTCTCCGGTTTTCAGGTTGAATCTGAGCCACGAGAACCCAAGAGATCTCCGCCCTAGCCTTTCGCTTTGAAAGCTCGGCACATCGGTGGCAAAGCTTCACCTCTCCCGCGTGACAGGTGAGGGCCTGGCAAGCAAGCAACTGGCCCATTTGCTTGGGTTTACCTTCAACCCGTTGGTGTTTTCCACTAAACAAAAGGTTAATCCTTTTGGGGGGGGGGGCAACAGCTACAGAGAGACTCATCGTTTAACCTGTTTGTTGTCCTTCATTTCCCTTTCAAACAGCAGAAAATGGGTTGCCCTTCGATTTCTCCCCTGGCGTTGCGAGGGGCTTGGCTTTTCAGAGAACAGAAGCTCCCTGGAGGCGTCAAAGAAGCGGCCAGCTCCTTCCGATTCCCTACATGTTGCTCGTGGGCGCCAGGGTCAACAATTAGTTCAGGGATGGGATCATGACCCCTTTGCGTTAAATGTGACCTCCATGGTGGAGCGACATGTGTTTTGTGGCCGTGTCCGTCTGAAAGAGATGTCCGAAAAAGTGTTTGTTGAAGCCATTGAAGCAAGGGGTGGGTCTGATTACGGCCTAGCCAACTAGAAGAATGGCCTGGGTGCTGTTATTCAAATTCAGCCATGGTCATAGCAGCAACATGTTATTACTCATGTAGCCCCTCGTATGTATCAGCTGGTATCAAGCCTGCAAGTCTTGCCATGTCCCTTGCTGGCAGCTTGCTTCAGCTTGCTTCACTTCCCACGTCACATCACATCACCTAGAAACTTGGAGAAAGCAGCCGCGCCGAGCTACGAAGGTTGCACAAGGCGAATGGGTGTGCCGTGTTGAGACCAGGCGGTGGGCAACATTCCAAGCCCGGGCCCCTGTAAAGATAAGCCAGAAGGAGGTGTTTAAAATACTGTTTTGGCTTAAGCATGTTTGAGCAAGTCGGCACGGTAGTTGACATGCTTCAAGGTTCAAACCCCCAACCTTCCGAAATGTCAAACGGCCTTTAAGGCGATCTCCGGGAAACCCGGGGGAAGCAGTCATTGGGAGACAATGTACGTTTGAGCTAAGACTCCTTGGCGGGAATCTGCAAATTCAATGGCGAGCTCACCCGGTAAGATGAGCTCACTAGGGAATCCCACTTTGGCAGGGCGATTTCCCACATGCCTTGGTTCCTCCATCGGATTTTGGCTCAACTCCGTCAACAAGCAGCATAAACGCATCACCATCGCACGGTTTCAGCGCGATGCGCTCCCGCGCGCGCTATGTGCTTTGCCTTCTTGCTGCGCTCTGTCTTTGGCTGCAGCCCGATTTCGCCTCAGCAATCGAGAAGAGGGAAATGCAACGGGACAAACGAAAATGGCAAAGATCAGATGTTGCGGGCCTGTGTCCACTCAAGCGGGTCTTTTTTTTGTTTGGGGGGGACCCTGTGATGGGCATCGTTCACATGCGTATCTAGGTCCATCAACCTTTTGGAATGTCGTACCTATGTTTTCCTTGTTTTGACACGACGTGCTTGCCAGTCTTGATTAAGCTGCCTGTTGGCCAAATTTTTCGGCACAAGCGCAACAATAATCCCAACATCAGTCAAATTTGAGGGTGCCGACCTATAGTCGTTATGTGGTTGTATGCCCCACTTTCCCTTGAGCAGTAGCTTGGGCGTAGTGGAACGCCAGGACAGCAATGCCGGCCTGTTTGACCCACGCACGCAGAGGGTTGCCCTGGAGCAATTGGGAAGCAAAACGTGGGCAAGTGTAGGATTCCTGCATATATCCCCCAAGCGGCAGCATCCCCGGCATGCTAATGATTTTTACATGGGCCATTGTTGTGGGCCGTTGTTCTTGTGGTTTGCCGGCGTGAGAGGGGATAATTGAAAAATGATAAATCTACAAGTTTGATTTCAGCAAAAGGGCGATCAAGGTGCAAAAAATGATTTGCCAAAACAGGGGCCCATTCAGGAAACTGTTTGTGCCAGTGGGTTTCCTGAATGGGCCCCTATTTGTGGGACCTGGGTTGGGGGCTTGGCACGAAGAGTCCCAATGGAGATGGGACCTTTCGGGATTGCTGTTGTCAAACACAAAAGAGTGATCCTGGCCAATCAACCAGGGCAACACCGTTGCATACCCATTATGTAAGTGGTACATAAGGGTATGTATTTTTGAACAGTTAATGGCCCATAACAATGGCCCATGTAAGATTCTTTCAATATGCTGCAACTCTTGGGATCATCGGCGAAAAGTCTGGCTGCCTTTCACAGTGCCACGAGAAGTGTGTGTGTGTGTGTTTCCTTCCGTGCTGGAGAATAAAAGAATTCCAGTGTCCCAAGCATATGGAAACGGCTCGCTGGAGATCAGCAAGAGGACCCTTGGTCTGGCGTGTTACTTGAGACGGGCCCAGTAGCGTTCCGAGGCCCAGCTCACGTCCACGATCCCAGACTCCAAGAGGCGGGATTGCCCTGGCTTGCCGGTCGTGCTTGGGTTGCTGGATGCGGGTCCCACTTTTCAGCTAAATGAGAGGATCCCCCTGGAACGCTGGCTGCTTTTTGCATTCGCAGTATATTCTTTGAGGAACCCTGCTGAACCAGTGACACTCTTTCCCTTTTTGTTTGGTGGCTATGGTGGCGTCTTCAGATGGACCCCACAAGTGGTCCCCTTCGCCCGATGAACAACCCACCCAGGTCCCCCCAAAATCAGATCGGAAGACCCGGGTGATGTCCGGCGTGGAGCCTCATGAGCATAGACGGCGGTATTGCTGAATTCACAAGCCTCGCATACGCCTCCCCTACCGTAACGCTTTCCCAAATAGCTAGCATCAGCAAGGGCTTCCAGCCTGTCGACTTGTCGCAGTCTTTCTGCGCTTATCCCCCCTCTCATGGAAGGGGCCCCTGGGCAAGAGGGTTCATATCAGAGGCCAATACATGGGTATGTGTCAAAAAAAGGGGGGCAACACGCGTGGCTGAGTTTCGTGTCACCCGGCCAGGGCACAGAGCGACGAATGGGAGGAGGCGGATACCGGGTGCTCGTTGACTTTGGCGGTCGCAGGCTCCGATTTTCGCCTCCAACTCTTTAAGGCCTCCCAAAATAAGCCCCTTTACCGAGTTCCAACGCACGGGATCCCATAGCTTGCGCCAAAGGACAGATGTGGGTCTGTCTTTTTTGGGAGTTGGTACCCCTTGTTTGTGGCTGGGAAGGGAAAGAGGAAAGCCACAAATTGTTAGGTCCCCTGAGAAATACACACCCGTGCATGCACCTCATTTTAGCGCATGCCCAAATAGTTGTTTTCCAGCCAGTGTCCTTGGGCAGGTAAGCATCAAGGAGTGCATGGCAAACGCGGCAGGCGGCGGAACGAACCCGGCGGTCGTAACTCTAAACTTTGTTTCCTTTGTTTGAGCTGACTGTGATTAGGCTTATCAGCGATAATTAGTTTGTTTTGTTGGCTGGTGTTATTTGTTGTTTGCTTGTTATGCTTCGGCCTGTTTGCGTTTGCTTTGCTATGCTCTTTTTATATTCTTTTCGTTTGCTTCGTGTCTGAAGCTGGGGCGACCCGCGGACCACGAAACTCGTTTGCCCCACTCGAAGCATCGAACCAGCCAAGTCAGGGTTTTGCTTCCCCTCCCCAGGAAGAATCGCTGGGGATATGTTTCCAAGCGTTTGCGCTTGTCTTCCTTTTTGATTGGGGGCGGGTTCATACTTCTTGTGGCTGGCGTTGATGTTTTCCGGGCAAAAGCCCAGGTCCGAAGAAGGGCAGACTCTCGCGATGCCTGTTCGAAGCATTTATCTGCATTAGCTGGCCAAATGCTCTCGATTCAGCAAGGTGTTCTTTTTGGGCACCGGCGCCAACAAAGGGCAAACTCACGCATGTGTTTGTTGTTTTCGGACATGTGTTTCGGCCTCGGCCAGGCCAAAGCCCGAAACGGTTTTGCTGAGGTAATCCTTAGGCGCTGAGATTGCCATCGACGATGCCCCAGCAAAGATGGAAGGTGCGAACAAGGGCACGAGGGCAAACTCTCACGGTGGTTCCCAGTGTGTAAAAGCAGATCGAAGAGAAGTGTGGGAAACGCTCACGAAGTCACCTAAGTCACCTAAGTCACCACCGCTCACGAAGTGCTGTTTCGCCAGATTGTCTGAATTTTCATGGCATATGACCCAAAGTCTGCGCCTATCTTTATGCTACGGACGGCACGTGCCAAGAAAAACAAGTTTCGTTACAATCAATTAGTCCACCCATCCACACAAATATTAAGCTTTTGGGCCTCAACAGTGCTTTGCGTGCATGCCCAAAGTCACCAACCCAAAT